CCCCTCTCAACCAAGAGAGATGTCTATACCACCACCCAGTTCGGAGAATCCCCGGCATCGCGTATCATCTCTCTGTGACCTGGCACATCACACCCCGAATTCGCATCCCACCCCTGCCCGTGACGTACAAGATGATATCTCTGATACGCCGACCGAACTGCCTCCCCTTGGGAGAGGCGCCATAGGGGCTGATTCGTCGTCGCCAAGCATAGCTAGCTCGGATGGTAGCTTAGAAGATTTCTTCAGGCTCCCGGATCTCCAGAACAACATCCCCATTGACCCAGCGATCCTTGCCGACGACGCGCCTTGGGACATTAGTGACCTTCACCAGCCTGTCCAGCAAGGCGATGATCTTGCCAACCCAAAGGCCATTTATCGCTATCCTGTACCTCCCCTGTCTATGTCCTGTGACAACCCCAACCATCACCGAGGATCCGGAGAGAGGCCTGACGGCTGGAGTAGAAATTCTCAAGCAGTTGATGATACTCACGTTCTGGATCATCGGCATATTCACCCTGCCCGTTGCGGCACTGACGTTGATGTTCCTTGCTCCTACAGCACGAGTGACGACTTCCTCAGCGACGAACAGTTCAGGAGGCGCAAGCGAGGGCCACAGCAACCAGAAGAACCGGCCGCAAAGCGGCTTCACGTTGCCTCCGCATCGTCTATGGAAGATTCCTCCACAGCCCTTCGCTCCCATTTCCTGTCGCTGCCGCTCGACGAGCGTCTGCAGTTCCTTTCTTGGCTGTTTGAAGGTGCTTTGGCGAGTTGCATGTACGACTCAACACCGGCAATATGGGTGGGAGACGAGAGTGTGCGGTCAGCCGGTCGCTCGACTCCTCGCAAGGTCGGAAAATCTCAGCGTGAGCGCGGCGAGGGGAGGAAGGGCCACAGAGACAAGCTGTGGCGATGGCTCCCCGAGGATGACGCACGGCTCCTGAGCATGATGGAGGAGCGCCGACCCTGGCCGGAGATAGAGAGTTGTTTTCCAGAAAGAACGGAATCGGCGCTGCGCCAGCGGGTGTCTACGCTTCGGAAACAAGAGAGGGGAATACGTACAGCCGAACCCGCCGGTGTCCCAGCAGCATCTGCCAGCCCCGAAAGGTGAGGCATAATGCTAATCCGTGCTAATCCGTGTACGTGAAAGTGATATCGTGATCAGCCACGAGTTGGCCTCTCCTAGCCGTTCATTAACGGTCCTTGGTAGGCAGGCTCGCCACAAGTAAATAACCGGAGAAGCCGAGCCACCTGTCCACCGCACTGTCATGCGTTCCCCTTTTCTACTGTACGCAGTCCGCAGCCACGGCCGAATGATACTACCCTCTTGCCCCCCGCG